ACCGAAACTTAGTGGATTGGGCCTTCATGAACTCGGAATAAGAACAGCACACTCTTTGACTTATATACACACATGTCAGGTAACACACCGTCCTGATTGTCAGACGTCCAAGTCAGTATTGCGCTGTTTCGCGGACGCCACTGTTGTTGGTCAGCACGCGATGGGATCCACTCACTTTCTAAGCAACCGCGCGCGCAGAAAACACTAAGGTGTGGGCAGACTCCATTCGGCATGGTCGCTCTTTGCGTCGACATACGATCAATCTTTCATTGACGCATCTATCCGTACATGTTGTCCCAACTCCCAAGGACGCCGCACCTCCGCTCCCTCGCGTCAATCTTCACCAAATTCAATCTGCGCGGATCAAGAAAGCCCACTGCCTATAGCGCAAGTACAAATGTAGTGTTCACTATCATTCATTAAGTGCTCAGTTTGTCTGTGGAGAGGACCAACATTCTCAGCCAAGCGCAAGTATACAGCATCATCGGAAACCGAAACTCCAAACCGCAACAAGGCATATCCCAAAACTATGTATCAAAGCTCGAAAACTCCCGAGAATCTCGCTCATGTCGTGAATCTTCATCAACTCGGCCATTCGTGTACCACTCTGCTCCCTGAGAACCCCAATTTCTCTAACACGGCTGAAGGTAATTGCTTGGGACCAGCCCCATGCGTCCATTACTCCCGTGAATTTCAGCTTCCCACCACCCGTCGTCTTGGTGACGCAGGACGGCAAGAAGGTCCCCCTTGGAAAATCCTAGTTCTTCTGGGATGGCTGCCTGGTAAACGTACAAAGCCCTTGCTGCAACCTAGTTAGCACCGTCTTCTTTTTCTCCGCCTTCTTATTGTAGGGCTAGCACTTACCAAAATGCAAAATGGGCCGGCCATCTCGAGTATATTGCCGAGATGGGTCTGCCACGCTCTTGCTACGCTGTCTCGACTCGCCTTGTCCCGGTGGTCCGCCGCCTTCGTAGAGTCCCATGGCCCGATTGCTGGAGCTCGTTCCAGGTCGACTCCCACCACGGCCACGGACTGATCCATAGCCCTCATCACCTACAGGCGCGAGTTGGACAGCTAATTCATTGGCGACATGGCTGCTGCCCGGTCTCATCTTCTCCAAGTAAGGAACCGGAGACGCCGCTCTCGACATTGAGCTAGGTGACTTCTGGTAGTAGGGCTGTTCTGACCCCCTTCTGGGTATGTTGCTCATTCGTGATGAGCCTCGCCCCAGAGAACCTTGCGGATTAGGAGACGCTGATCGGTAACCACCTCGAGTATCCTCGGCTGGCCCAGCTCTCGGCGAAGCAGTGCGAGGGGTGCTTCTGTAGCCGCTTCGCATGTCTTCCATTGGTGCAGTTCTCGGGGAAGCGCTTCGAAGGGGGGCAGGTGATGCTGCCCGAGGAACGTCGCTACCTCGTGTCATTGGCCGCGAGCTGGCCGTTCCACCGTAGCTTGACCCAGGGCGGTTGGCCGGGTTGAACATGCTACGGGTCTGGTCGGTAAATTTGGCCGATGTCTCTTTCATGGCCTTTGCTGTCACCGCCTGGGGTGGTACTCCAAGTCTCTGCACGACTTGCTGATCATAGGGTGGCGGCGTGCCTCGAAGTCCTCCGGCCGTTGCATTGCTGCTTCCCACCGCCGGGACCGACCTGGAGAACGGCTGGGAACCGGGCGTCGGAGTAGCAATGCCGTGATAGCGGTCTGCTGAAACGCGCACGCTGGACTGCTTTCCTACGCCAACCCCCTTGAGCTCGGCCAGGGCTAGGGCAATTGGATCCGTCTCAGGCTGAGCGGCCGGAACATTGGATCCCTTCCTCTTCTCCAAGTCTGGAGTTGTGACGGAAAAAACATTCTGCCCAACGTTCAATGCGAGACTAGCATTTGCATCAATTGGCTCTGGGCTCATGGTTGATCTGTCTCCTAGCAGGTTCGATGTCTCCTGAGTCTGCAGTTGGGGCCTTCGAGCCGGACTTCCTTGAGTTGTCACTGGGTGCCAGGTGTTTCTGGTCGCCGGCGAGCCTGGTGATTCCTTTGTGCTCTTGCGACGGAATGGACTATGATTTTGGAAGAAGCCACTCCGTTTCTTGAGAACTTGTTTATCCGAGACAGGAATTCCACTCACTGGTTCCTGCTTAACGGGCGATACTTTACCGCTTGCTGGCTCTTGGCTTGAAAGCGAGGTTGGGTTCGAGTAATCGCTGAGGGAATCGCGGCTCGAAGGCCTGGCTGAGGGCGGGTGCGAGCTACGCTCCGAGGGTGGGCCGGTACGGCAAAGCATTGTCATGCCGTCGAGAGGGTACGGATCATGAGGGACTGGTGCAAATGATCCACGCTGACTCATATCAAGAGAAGGTCGGCTTGGTTGCTGCTGCTGCTGTTGAGCCGGAGGGTGAGCAGCCGGGGCTGCCTGCCGTGATTTGTCCAAAGGTCTCTGTACAGCAACTGGTGCTTCGCGAGTATGAGGGGGTAAGATTTCTCGCCGACCCGTGTCTTGCAGATAGCTCCTTGCGGTCGGGCTCGCATCCTTGTGGCCCGAATCTAATCCAAACCCTCTGGAAGAGGAGCTGGCATCCTTTGGTGCTGTGTCATGAGCGAGTTGCCTAGTCGTAGAAGGGCTTGCATCTTGACGCCTTGAATCAGGAGCAACAACGGTTCTGGGAGTAGCTGAAGGTGGATCTTTGTGTCCTAGGTCCTGAGCAAGACTTGAATTGGGATCGTGGTGCGATTCGTATGTAGAGGGTTGCGGTGAAGATGATCTGAATGCCGGGTTTATACTCCTTGGAAATTGGGCAACGGAGTAGCTGTCGTCGTCCGACGTTTCCGATTGCGTGTCGTTAACATCTCCTCGACAGAAATTGATGTACTTTGGCGGATCTGGGATCTCTTGGCCCGTTCCTTGTTCTTTGATGAAGCTGATAATGTCCGTTTCAACATCCATGGTTTCCAGTGACAAACGGATCTTCTCGCAAGAAGCATCATCGCTGACGCAGACAGTGGAAGATATGTTGGCGAACGTCCACAAGCTACTTTTTGTGAAGTCGAGACGCTCTTCCTCCAAATCTTGGAACTTGTCCGCAGCTGCCTTCCACTCTCGATTCCACCTCACTGTCGTGTCCTCAAGTGCCTTCACAGCATTCTCGTACTCAGTATTAGACGTCGCAACGCTGATCTGCGTCTTCTCTAGCTTCGCCTTGTTCTTCCGCTCCTCTTGGCCCATAACCATGTGACCCTGAGCGAGGTAGCCCTTGATCTTGAGACACTCCTGCTCGAATCGGTCCCGCGTCTATCGTATTGGTCAGTGCATGACTCGTCTCGAGACCCGACCCGGAAGACTCATGGGCCAATTCGGATTTGGGGGCATCATCAGAACTGACCTTATTGACGTGCTGTGTTTGTTGTATCTTCGTCTTAAGGATCTTCTCAATGCCGTTTTGCACAATCTTCCTTCTCTCCTTCATACCACCCGCGAAAGCGGCAAGAGGCTCTTCCAATTCTGTCTTCATTTGCGCTGCGATGTTCTGATGTTGCTTCGCCATCGATTCGACCTCGCCTCGAACGGTGTCGAGGGAAACCTTCAGACTTCCTGACTCATGGGATCCTAATGATTTTCGACACAAAGAGAGTAGTTTTCGGGAGTATTCGTCTTCGATAGAGGCACGAGCTGCACTGGACATTAGCTTTCGGCTGTGACAGATCCAGTCGTGTTACTTGCCGCTGTAGAAAGATTTCAATTCATCACATGTTTGCTTCGCAGCGAGCATGCGGTCCAGCAAAGGGCCTACACCAGCATCTTCCTTTCCCCAGAAGTTGTTCGCAACTAAATGTCGGGTCGGTAAGCTCCTGCTTTGCTGCAGACATATAGAACCTCAACATACATGATAGAGCCACACTTGGCCCATCCGCCATCGATGTAGGCATGATGCCTACGAGTGCGTCAACGCCTTTAAATAAGGAACAGACTCAAGAGAGGTATGGCGTTGCATGCGGTCGATTCAGGCTACTAAATAGTAGAAAAATGAATCAAGGTTCATTAACAGCCTTTGGGTATCTTTGCGCACAACCTCAATGTGTCGCTTCTGAAGTTTGGTGTTGGAAAGCTGGAGTTGGTTGAGAGCCACGTTGGCGTCAATAGCTGTATTCGGGCGACGGGTCGGTCGATTGATGAGCAGATGGCCAAGGTAATATTGTTTGGTTCCGTTGCCGAGTAACCATTTCATTACATAAGGCGACCTACTCAAGTGTCTTACCTCAGTGGATGGCTAGGCTGAGTTTAGCGTGTTCGTACATCAAGCATGTCTGCCTTAGGGAAATCACCTGTAATAAGGTATCCGTTTCGGCAGCAAAGAAAGTACCTCAGGCGGGCAGGACGAGAGCGGGGGTGGGAGGCACCTTAGGTACCAAGGCAGGCAGGCATACTACGTAAAAGGCCCAAGGGCATTCGGGGTAGTTAGCCCAATACTGAATGCCTACGCAGTAAGTACCTTCCTAGATGCCTCTCCCTGTGAGGGTGCTATTTTAGTTACTTCTCCCCAGGTCGAGACCTCTGGCAGGTCACGTGCAACTATAGGCTCTCCAGCAGTACGGAAATTGGATACCTTACCTACCTATCTACCTTGGTATCTTCGTTGAATCAAGCACTAAAGAGGCCAGCTTACGTCTAGAAGAGACTCGATATCTTTCTAACCGAGCTACCTTAGGGTCAGTGCCTACCTGCAGCGCGCCTAGACGTGCCAAGGTACCTAAGGTAGGTAAAGCATGTTGTCTGAGGGCCATCTACTTTTTTACAATGCCGGGCCGGCTGTATCTGGGCTGCCCTTGGTGCCTCAAGTATGACCGTCTTAGGCGGTGTAGATGCACACAGACTGTCACCTTGCCTAAGGCACCTTAATGTACCTTACCTTAGGTACCTGCCTGGCCTGGGTAGGTACCACCCGACCTTGCCTGGAGGTAGATTCCTGCCATCAGGTTCCTTACCCTCCCTCCACTGTATGCCTTCGCCCATGAGGTCAGGTACCTTAGGTAAGGCACATTTTCCCTTAGGTGCCGTCCATTCTCCGCCTTGTGCATGTCCAAGCCAATCCCCTACCGGCAACCATAGGTAGCCTCCACGTCCTCACGTACCTTTCAAACCAGCCAGGCTCTAATTTCTTCTCTTTTTGCGAAGCTGTCAAGCACCGTACGACAGACGTTCCCGATCGATCAACGTCGCATATTCTACGAACTCTCCCTCTCTCCATTCCCCTCCCATCCTCCTCCTCAACCTCCGACAATAGCGAGCTAGTTCCAGAAGCCGTTCATCGATCCCCGCCCGAACATCGGTGGGCATCTTGATTGCGGTCTCGGTCGACCTGGCTCAAGTGCCAGGTCCCCTCCCCTCCTTTGCTCGATACCTCCATCGCATCAGCAACGATTCGGACACGGCCTACGCATCCTCGCCTCCACCCATTCATCTTCCTCGTCGCACTCGCGCATCAGCTGCGGCATTTGTTGCCCGCCTCGTCACGCCGACGGCCACATTCACAGTTCTGGAAGTGCTCGTCGTTGATGTGGGCGTAGTCGATCGCGAGATAGTTAGTTTGGTGGCTCGATAACGGAAGCCTCCAGCGAGGAAGTTGGTCTAGTCTGGTCTTGCTGTAGGACGGACTCCTCCTTCCAAACTTCTTCCGCCCCGATACGCAATACTCTCCCATGGTCCCACAACCAAGGTCGGGATCATTCTCTCCACATCCTTCACAGACACTGCACACTGGAGTTTGGCACTCAACCTATCCATCACAATCCGCTGGGTTGACTGCAGGCGCAAGTCCAAGTACGAGTAGTCCGACAGGGCCAAGTTCCCTGGTCAAAATTGCTGTCGCCCAAGTATATCTCCTTCTCGGTGCTATCAAGGAAGACAAGGACCGCGCCAAGTGGGAGACACAAGCAGAACAACTACAAAAGGTAGCCTTCCCACCCACGTCGAGCTTGCAACCAAATTATCTCAAATTCGGTCTAACGCTAGATCATTGCTGATACGTAAACATCTTCCTTAGCTCATCAATGAACACGGAATGGAGGTCTTTGCGAAGTATTTTACGCGCCTTGTCGCTGCCCATGCTGGCCATATCTTCCACGGACATACACGGCCGGGAACCAATGGCAATTTTCACCTTCTCATGAGCGAGATGAAGAAGATTTCCCACGACGCCAATCAAGCCAACAAGATTGCTGAGTCTATCGAAACCGGCACAGAAGACTTGTTCCGTGACTTTGACATGTCAACTTTCATGGAAGCATTCAAGTTGGATGCTCTCGAAAAGACGATATTGGCGCTAGCCTTCAAGACAGGATCAAGGTCCGACCTCAAGACCAAGGGTTGGTTGTCCTATTGTCGTGGGAAACAAATGCTCCTAATGCTGACTACTCAAATCCAGCCGATGCCATCTTATCCACGAATTTCCCGACCTTCGTGAACATTCTTGCCCGGCGCGAACTAGAGGAGCACGCAGATTTGACCGATTCCTTCATCGCTGTACTCGTCGATCGCTTCATTCAGTATCAGCCACCAAACTTCAACGCCGCGTCCAAGTCCGAACTAGCCTACAAGGTCCAGGCAAGGTGGCACGGGGACCAGGCTCCGCCGCCCTCTGAAGTGCTTGCCGCGCTTGATTTGGTTAGAGTGCTGGCCGACAAACCTCCAAATGCTCTGGCAACATACATCCAAAGAACGGGCGGCGACTTTACTAGAGATGAGGAGAGTTGCGTCTCATACCTGCAAAGTCGGCCTCAGAATGTTCAGCTCAGTGAAGAGCAGGTGTCAATCGCCCTGACTTACAGCACTATCAGCCAGACACCCCGTTATGACCCGTCGATTCTTGCGGCAGCCCTCCGTCGAGTTCTTCCTTCGTCATTTAGGTGGCAAGACGTGGTTTCATACTTCGATCAGCGATCCGCTCGAATCTCCTCCCGGCAATTTCTCCGTCTATACAATGCGTTGCTCCCGATCGCTGAAGATGATCAAACATTTGATATCCAGAAGCTATGGGGTGGAAACTGGGAACATCCAGAAACCCAACTGTCTTTCATATGCGCGTTCGCCTCACTTCAGCCGGATCAGCTTGACGCCAGTACAATCCCGGGTTTGATTCCAACGCTGACACTGGAAACCTACGTGCAATCTGCCCCAGAGGTTCAGCAACGCGCGGCGTTCGCGGCCAAGCACGCGTTGGTGTCTGTTGAGGCACTGTCGGCCGTGTTTCATGTTGCCCTTCACTCAGTCCACGCGTCGCAAAGCGTCGAAGCCAAGCGCCTGTTCCAGGAAGTCGTGGTACCTAACCTAGACATCTTCGTCGTTTCCGCGTTTGGAGTGCCGAAACCATGGCCAACGATGGCAGTCGATACGCTGAACTCTCTTTTCGAAAGCTTCCTCTACAAACGATCAACGGAATATGATTTTGTTCTCGACAGCCTGTGGAAGAAGGACAAGGAGTGGGTGATTCAGCGGCTGATTGAGGCACACGCCATTAAACCAACCGATCTTCCCTTGATTTTTGAGCATGCCTTGAAACACAAGTGGCTCGATGAGCTTGTATACCTATCAAACGGGTTTGGACTCGATCTCGCAGCGCTTGCTCATGCCGAGGGTTATCTTGACTTGGTTAATTGGGCGCGACTCAACTCCGAGAGAAGCAACGAGATTGCGCGGTCTTTGCTCCAGTTTTTGCTGATCAAGGCAAACTTGGAATTGCAATTCCAGCGCCCCCCTGATGGCCAAGCTGCCGTAAAATCTAGTACCACTCTCCAAGTGAGGACAGTGGCTGCTTTTCTGCAAATTCTGGAGGACTTTCTCCCCAAGACTCCCTTGCAGGATCTCATCATGGTGCAGCGATCTTGCATCACGGTCTACCCTAGATTGATCAACTATGGCGAAGGCTTCGACGATATCATTGACGCCAACGGCAAAGATGGGAACGCTTTGCCTACCGGGGCCAACAGTAAGATGGAAGAACATTACAAGAAGATGTACGGGGACGAAATTCAAGTCCGCAACATCGTCGAGGTCCTGGATCGGTACAAACATTCTCGCGATCCTCTAGATCAAGACGTGTTCGCATGCATGATCCACGGCCTGTTCGATGAATACGCTCATTATGTCGATTATCCCTTAGAGGCACTCGCAACAACCGCAGTGCTTTTCGGTGGCATCATCTCCCACAAGCTTATCTCGGATCTCCCGCTCAAGATTGGTCTTGGCATGATTCTTGAGGCTGTCAGAGATTATTCCCCAGAGGATTCGATGTACAAATTTGGACTGCAGGCCCTGATGCAACTGTTTTCTCGCTTCCGGGAATGGCCCGGCTTCTGTCGACAATTGCTGCAGATACCCGGCCTACAAGGTACCGAGGCCTGGAAGAAGGCTGAAGACGTGGTTCGAGACCACGAGGATGAGCTTGCACGATCGCGCAACGGCGTTATGCCTTCAGCTCATGTCAATAGCGAGTCTCTTTCGAACGGTAACGTACCCGAAGGCAGACCGACGGATCGTCAACCGCAGCCCTTCCAGTCTATCAACGCATCTGACCGTTCGCCTGGAGTCGATTGCGAGGAGCCATCAAGCGATACACAAGGCAAGATTCAGTTCGTACTGAACAATCTTACCGAGACCACCCTTCAAACCATGTGTCAAGAGTTGCGGGAAATTCTGGAACATCGTTATCAGCAATGGTTTGCAAGCCATCTGGTCGAGGAGCGAGCCAAGATGCAGCCTAATTATCACCAAGTCTACCTTGAACTGGTCAAGCTGTTCGAAGACAAGATTCTGTGGGGAGAGGTTTTGAGAGAGACGTACGTGAGCGTGGCTCGTATGCTCAACTCGGAGGCCACCATGCAGAACTCGACCGAACGGTCACACCTCAAGAATCTTGGAGGCTGGCTTGGTCTTCTCACTCTGGCTCGCGATAAGCCGATTAAGCACAAGAACATTGCCTTCAAACAGCTCTTGATCGAGGCTCACGACACGAAAAGGCTCATCGTGGTCATTCCCTTCGTTTGCAAAGTCATTCTCCAGGGAGTCAACTCAACCGTATTTCGGCCACCGAACCCATGGTTGATGGATATCATTCACTTGCTCATCGAGTTATATCACCATGCTGAGCTGAAGCTCAATCTCAAGTTCGAGATTGAAGTGTTGTGCAAGGGTCTTAACCTTGACCACAAAAGTATCGAGCCTTCCGGCGAGATTCTCAACCGTGCCGCTGTCGAAGATGCACAAGAGCTGGTTTCCCAAGACACTTTGGAGACGTTTGAAAATCTTTCCCTGAACGGGATTTCCACGGGTGTCACAGCTGGCCTCTCTCCTCAGGTCATTGCTGCATCAATCCCAGATCTTGGCCCGCTCATTCACATTCCGCCTACGAACGAAATGGTGGTAACGGCTACCCGACTGCACGAGATTGTTCGGACTGCTCTTACGCAGGCTTTGCAAGACATCATACAGCCTGTGGTAGATCGATCCGTCACGATTGCTGCCATTTCCACCCAGCAAATGATTCACAAAGATTTTGCGACTGAGCCTGATGAGAACAGGGTCAGGACATCAGCCATCAGCATGGTGAAGGCGACTGCCGGAAGTTTGGCGCTGGTGACCTCTAAGGAGCCGTTGAGAGCCAACTTCACAAATTATATGAGGAACTCATCTAATGACCTACCGCAAGGGTTACCGGAAGGCACTATCATCATGTGTGTGAACTCAAATCTTGATCTGGCGTGCAACATCATCGAGAAGCAAGCTGAGGAGAGAGCTGTGCCGGAGATTGAGGAGATGATTGAGCCTGAACTGGAAGCACGCCGTCGTCATCGCCTTCAGCGCCCTAGTGAGCCATATGTGGATGCCTCTCTCAGTCGATGGGCGTGGACTATTCCCAACCCGTTCAAGTTGTCGCCAAGCATGGGCGGCCTCAACCCTGAACAGATGGCCATATACGAGGACTTCGCCCGCCAGCCTCGGACCACCACTTCCAATGCTCCATCTCACGTACCCTCCGCTTCTGATGCGACTAGATCGCTTGCCAACGAAGTTCTCCAAGACCAGTTCTCCACAGTACCCAGCCTGGGAGCTACGGCAGATGCACCAGCCGTTCAACACCTCGGCTCTCAGGTTCAGCAGTACGCCCCCGTTCACAATGGAGCAATGCCTACCGCGAGGCCCCAAGCATTCCAAATGGACGGCCGCGCTTTGATTGAACGCGTCCAGAAGCTTCTCATGGAACTGCAGCGCGTGGCGACCGAAGCGCGCGAGGAACACTTCGCCGACCTCCCGAGGCCACATCCCGTCCTAGATGTGGTTGACGCATTGGTTCAGCATATGATCAAGGCATCGCAGACTTCAGACGAGTTTGCTGTTTTTGCTGCTGATCAAATTATCCAGCTCATTTTCAGCCCGATTGATGACAACTTAGCCTTGGAAAGCCTGGTCCATGTTCTGGAGACGTTGCGGAAGATTTCTGGCCCAACGCTGAACAACCGCGTCACTGCCCACTTCCGCCAACAGTCTGGAGCCACCTTCCTCCAAATGCCACTTCTCGCTGCACTGCTGCGCACCGACCTCCTCGACTGGAGAAACATTGATTTATCCATGTCCAAAGCGCTGCAGCAAAGGAAAGAAGGCTCGCTAGACTTCTTGGACCAGATGGTTGATCTGACTCTCCTCGGCAGCCGGCCAATGGCGCTTTATGGCGACTTTGTTCGGACACTCGAGGCTGCCTGGTCCTGGATACAGGACGAGCCAGATTCCGCTATCGGACAGCGCTTGAAGGCGAAGCTCTCTGGTCAAACACTGCCTCAAACTGCGCAACAGGAGAGCGAAGGCGCACTCCAGCAGGACCAAATGGAATATGTTTTTGACGAATGGATCCATCTTTGCAATAACCCTGACGGATCGGAGACCTCGTCCATCATGTTCGTGCAGCAGATGCAAATCAGAGGTGTTGTCAAGAGCAAGGACGACCTTTTTGTTTTCCTCAGAATCGCAACAGACATGTCGGTGGACAGGTTTGAGCACTTCGTCCATTCGACGGGAACCCTGACGGATGCCTTCCTCGCTGTGGATGCCCTCGCAAAGATGATTAACATTTTTATCAGACTTCATGGTGAAGCACAGCCTACTCCGACGCCAAGCCGAGCGGTCTACTTGGATTCTGTCTTGGCCTTTATCACTCTCGTGCTTAACCATCACCATGTGAAGCGCGCGGATCACTTCAACCAGAGAGTGTTCCATCGTCTGTTGTCGGTTCTCCTTTACGAAATCAGCTCTACTGCAGAGCAGCTCCCCGAGTCAGAGAGATCGGAGCTGTTCCTGAAGTTCGCTGCCAGACTCGCAGACCTCGGACCGAAATATCTTCCTGGCTTCGTTTTCGGCTGGCTCTCCCTCCTCCAGCATCGGGCTTTCTTGCCTGCAGTAATGAAGGATCGCTCCGGGTGGGTGGCGTTTACCAGACTCCTGCAATTGCTCCTGGAACATATTGGCGAACAAGTCAAAGCGATCGAGCCCTCCAATGTAGCGCGCGAGATTTATCGAGCCACCCTCAAGCTACTCGTTATTCTACAGCACGACTACTCGGACTACCTCGCGGCACACTCACATCAACTCATAGCTAGTGTCCCTCCTCACTGCAAGCAGCTTCTCAACGCCATATTGACAGCGAACCCAGCAGCCCATCCTAAGATGCCGGATCCTTCGTTTCCCGGTCTGCAAGCTGATAGAGTAGATGGTGCCAGGGACTCCCCTGAATGTCTAGACAACTCTACGTCTATTCTGCGCGACTTAGGCTTGCTCGATGTCCTTAACCACGCGCTGCAGAACGGCCCGTCCGAGGATACATTAGCACACATCACGCGAGCCATTGTCGAAAGCCAGCGACCTGATACCGGTTTTGGGCATGTGCCCATCAATGCCAATTTGCGAGTGGTCGAGGCGGTCACTCTTCATGTCGGCAACTATGCTGTCCAGCAGTCAACTCAGAAGGGTACGGATGTCTTCAATCCAGCCTCATCAGATGTGGCCACAATGTCCATCTTGCTTCACGAGCTGCCTCCTGAGGCCCGCTACTACCTCATCACCAGCATTGCAAACCAATTGCGGTTCCCCAATGCCCATACCAACTACTTCAGCCGTATCTTACTGGAGATCTTCGGCCAGGACATGAATGACCCTGAGGAGACGGAGATCAGGCAGCAAATCACTCGCGTGCTTTGGGAACGCCTGATCGGCTACTGGCCCCAACCCTGGGGTCTCATGGTGACAGTTGTTGAGTTGCTCAAGAACGAGAAGTACATGTTTTTTGATCTCCCATTCGTCAAGTCAAACCCAGAGGTAAGCGAAGCAGCTTGAGCCGACTCCGTCGACATTCACCCGTGACTAATGTCGCGCCAAATAGGTCATTGAACGCTTCCATGCCATTTTACAGCGCGCATAAGAATCTGTGGAGAGATTTGGCCCCAATCTGACAATCATGTCTATTCACAAGACAAGGCGATGGCAAGGTGTGTTCCTCGGATCAATCGCGGCACAAGACGGGCGGGAAAACAGGCGGATTGGGGGTTCACAAAAAGGAGATATGGGCGGTGATTCCTTCCACAGGGCGTTCTAAATGGAAATCACGGGAAAGAACCTGTAGTATTTATGCTAATGTACGATAATGAGAATTCTGGTGGTATGTTGGACATTCCGACCTAGAAGCGTTTGGCCGTCATTCCCTATTCGTCCAAGCGGCGTCATGGCGACATGAAAGAGATAAACACATTTAGTCCTCTAAGGCAACGGAGGCTTGGGGTCTCGAAACGAATTCAGGTACAGGTAATTGTGTGTGGCAGCCATGGTGTCCAAGGATCGAGTCAAAGTAGACCAAATAGACAATACCTTAGAGAGAGACCTTGACAAATAGTCGTGGTACTCTGTATCCTCAGCCTAGCCTCCGACCCCCTCCCCCGCTTGGTCTTCTCGCTCTGCACGACTTCCATTCCTCCACTCAAATGGTCTTGCATACGCGCGAGAGTAGACATCCATTTTCACAGCGACCTACGACCAACAATCAAGGCAGAAAATTCTCTAAGCTACATCCTAATGATGATGTTGCCGGATACAACAGAGGCTGACCACAGGAAGACACAATCATGCTTGTCTTCGAGCGAACAAGACGGTACCGATTCGTTCCCCTCCAAAGGTCTTTTTCTCAATACTTCGCACGGTTACTAATTCGAGATGCCTGTTATATATATATATATATATATATTTCTGGAAGTTGTGGCACAGAGTGCTACACAAAGATGTCCACCCAGTAAGTAGTACACACACAAGAATACACGTTTCTATTGAAAGCAGGCTGGGCCTCGCGACTTCCTGTGCGGTCGTGACCTAGCTGAGTCGCCGCTGATTTGCCAGAACGGCATACAAAATCACCGAGCAGGCCTTCTTCAGGACCTCTGACGCTTTTCTTATTCATCGCACTCGCCTGGCGTGGATATCGTCATGGACCCTCTCTACCATGTGACCCAGACTCCCGCAGCCCCTTTCATCCCTGATTGAACCAGTATAAGCGATTGAGTATCACAGTTCTTCCTCGTCGACATTGGTACCCGAGGTGGCCGGCGCATTTGTCTGTGTAGGGACCCCACGGTTCATGACATCGCTCAAACCTGAGTTATTTGACTGGGCTCGGATTTGATCATCGCCGCCAGAAATACTCGGCCGATGTTTCTTCAAGGGGCTCCCAACTGTTCCCTCTATCGTAGCATCGTTGCTAGGGTCCTGGTTCACGCCCTCGGAAACATGGCCATTGCCTGCAGCGCTTGCAGCGCCAATCAACGGATTACCGAACGCGCCCGAGTTTACAGAGTTATTGGTGGCACCTGCGTTCTCGGAGCGGTCGGGCTCGGCTGAATGTGCTCTCTTAAGCTGTTTTATGAGGAGTCAGGTGCCAAGCTTACACAAGAGGATGTGGGGAGTAAAACATACTCGAATACGGTTCACACCATCAGCAAGCTCCCCTTGAGATCTAACGTCCTCGGGGGCGAGCTTGTTATTGATGTCCTTTTCATCAATATCCTGCATCTTTCCAAGAAGTTCACTCTCGTCGTCATCGTCGTCACTGTCGTCATTGAGAGCTCCCCCAATATTGCCATTGCTCTTCTTGCGGGCTTTCCGTCGTCTGGTGGCCTCTGTATCCTGGTCTCTGAAGGCAGAAAATCCAACGGTGCCAGAGGTCTTCAAGGGGCCGAGGCTTGAAAAGTCTAGCTGCCCAGACCGGCGTTTGGCAGATCCCGGCGTTGCCTGGGCTGCCTTTGAAGAAGCAATGATGCCAATCTTTTGGAGTTGCCCTGCGCATTGTTAGCCGCTTAGAACGCAACATTATTACATTTCTTGAGAAACTGGCCGACTTACTCTCCCCGCGGTAGAAGAATGTGAAAGAAGCATATGGCTTGTCGGGGCCATCGATACCCGTCACGGTCTGAGTACTAATAGTCTTCGGATCCAACGTCTTGGGCTTGGCAAAGCTTGTAGTGTGCTCCACGTCAGCATCGACGCCGCTCTTCCCATTGCCTTGCTTTCCCGACTCCGCGTCATCGTCATCGTCATGAGCATCGAACTGTGGAGAGTATTCTCCTTTTTTTATTTCGCCAGAAGCAAGCACACGGAACATCAGCACCTTGATCTGTCCAGTTGCCTCGGGGATCTCGTCATCGTCGGATAAGGAGTCAGAGTCGTCTTCGCCAAAGACAGCCTCAACAGGAGATCCGTCCTCGGCACCGTAGCGCAGAGTGTCTCTGGGGCCGTTGGGGCCTTCCTCAACTTGCATGCTTGTCGCTCCAGTCGTAGTCTTTTGTCTCCTGCGTCGCTTCTCGAACTTTTGACGGCGACGTTCCAGCTTCTCTGCCGCATCGTGACCTTGAAGGTCTAAGCCGTTAAGCCAACGCTCCAAGCCGACTTCGCGGAATAAAAATTCGCGCTCAGCAAGACCTCCGCCTTCAGAATCGGGTACCTGAACCCAACGACTGTTGACCCAGGTCTCCTCACCCGGTCGCAGAAGCGTGGCGACTTCCTCCTTGGATCTTCCGTCAAAGTATATGTAGGCGGCTATCGTCTCATTCTCAGAATTGGTCATGGGAATATAGGGGTTGACGACTCCGGAGAACTTCGAAGGACCTTGAGCGGCGGTGGGCAGGCCTCCGACGAACTGGGGCTTGGGATAAGGGTTCGTCTCGGTGGACTTCGGAGTCGAGTACGGGATCGGCAAGCCGGGTGTCAAGAGGGTAATTGAAATGGCGAACTTGGCAGGCTCGGGCTTGTTCGAATCGGGGTTGATGCTTGGCTGAGGCACGGGTATATAGGTGCTGATGCGTGACAGTCGTGACTGCTTTTGCATACCATGCTCGGGAAGAGGAGCACCGTTGGCATGTATGCTAACGGCAATCCCTTTAAAGCAGGGCATGGTTGCGAAGCGGACTAGAGCGCGTAGAAGCGCCGCAGTCCGAGCAAGGAAGGAGAATCGGCGAAGGGCACCGCGGTCGCCAGTGACAATGCGGCGATCTGAAGGTTTTCCTTGCGAACGCGGCAGTCAGGCAGCTTGGTAAAGCTGCGTGATGTTAGCTGAAGGCCGTGGTTTGGGTGAGTCGTTGGGTCGATAGTTCCGTGGGTGGTTTGCGGGATTCGGTGCGGCACACGGCGGACGAGGTGGGAATAGTGGGGGGTTGCTTCTTGCCTTGGTGGTTGTCGAGAGGGACGCAAGCAACGGTGTTTTGCAAGAGCGACTCAGTGGCTCAACGATGTCAAAAACCGCAGTGGCGGGTAGCGAGTAGACTGCAGCGTAACAAGGTGGCAGTTGATGCGACTATGGGGTCGAAGCTGAAGTAGAAATTGCTCTTCTTCACCGTCTCCGAATGGACCTGGTTGTGGTGGATCTGACGACCGGGGGCAATGAGACCTTGGGCGAGGAGGCCTAGGTACAAATGGTGCGCATATTGTCCCAACGACAGTGGAGAGACAGAGGTGCGGGATCTGGGAGAGAAAATTGTTGAAAAGTAGAAGATGATGCGGCTGAAAAATACCAGAGTATTGTTGGCTACAGCGTGATGTGGTCGAAGTTGGGACAAGGCTCAAGACAATGGCGGCGGCAGCTGGCGGTGTGGGAGGGCAAGGAAGCGACAAGATAGTGCCCTGGAGGGGAAATGTTGCTTGGCTGTCCCGTGTCCGTGCTTGGATGTTCCCGCAAGTGCAGCTTCCTACATCCGCTGGGATCAAGTGCACTGGTGCACTGTGGGGGGGCTGGCACTTCCGTCCACGAGGTAACACCATGGCAGTGGCAGGTTTTGGTATTCTAGCCCGCGACTTATTGCCTCGACTTACCTTAGCTCCGTACCAGCGCTCAGGTGCCTCCCCGTCTCCTGTTAGGTAAGCAAAGGCACAGCCATCGCCCTCTGCTGATACGGTGATACATAAGATACCTCACCTGGACCTTGTTAGATGGCGACTTGGGTGCTCGTGATGCCTAACGAACCCTCACGGTCAAGATTAGTATCTTCGTTTCGTTGCACTCCGAAGAAGTCGACGCAGGCAACTTTGTTGAAATTATTTTAATGAGTGGGTGCCGAATCCTCGGCGGGGTCTCTCAATAGTCTCTTGCTTTCTTCCATATCTCGACGTATTAACGTTACCCCGCCAGATCTCAGCAAACGGTCAGCAACAATACCACCATAAGATAGCAAGCACCCCCTCATCAACTTCGATGCGATGACCTCCGCCGTACACTACTGGAACCTCCCTCACTATAACTCGTTCCAATGCCCGAGTCCCCCCTGAAGCCCCTTCCGTCATCTTCTTCCTCGTCGTCGGCCTCACCACCGAGCGGGAGCAGGTCCTCCACACGAGGCCCCGCATGCTGCTCGTCCTTGACTTCAGGCTCATACCGTAACGGAGCCTGGTTCCCATAGGTCGGGAACGTCCTCGGGGCATCCGACAGCTCATCGATGCCACTTCCTTCCTCTCGCTTGGCTTGCCCCATCGACTTATTGTACGACTTTTCCACGATTCCTCCATTGCCGATGCCAGAGCCCTGTGACGATCCTGAAAGCCCAGACCATGCCAGCCATGCCACCGCCATGAATATGATCTCGGATGCCCAGAATACCAGGACGGCAGCGGTCAGAGTCATCACGCGGTAGTTGTACATCAGCCAACGCAATCCCCGCAGTTGAGCAGTCAGCGTAATCGAGGCAGAGTATGTCTCGATATCCTGGCCGCCCTGAAGTTCAAGGTACGCTGAAGCGGGTAAGGAGGAGCCTCTGGCCAACTCCACGCGCTCGGCCATCGGTACGGTCAGTACGCAAGTTTCCGAATCGGAGAACAAAACGTGGTAGGCTAGGAAGAGGATTCGCGACGCTGTCGATACCATTGGATCTTGATATGGCACCAAAGCGGGCCGCCTTGAAGACAAAAGGACTGTCTTTCCGTCGAAATGAGCATAGGGTTCAGGAGCGATATGAGGCTGTATTTTGTTGCTTCCCGTCGACAAGGCTCCAACATCCAGCAGGTGGATAGCAATCATGAAGTTGCCTCGTTGTGTGTTGGCAGGCGAACGGGGCATAGACAACGTGACGGACACATCGTACTCCTGCTGCGATCTCAGAGCAGACGTCGGGATGGTTGCTGTTCCAAAGGGATTTGCACCTGATCTAGAGGTGAGGTTAGACAGTGACTTTTTGGTTGAGTCAAACGGAAAGCAGGCGGGAAGCGCGAGGAGGACTCACCCGTACTGGAGGTGGACTGGGGTCGTCACTACTTGCTCAGGTAGGTAGTCGCGGAAAAAAAGGATAGAGGCGATGGCAGCAAAGGGCAGCAGAAATAACGACGTGCCGACGAGGAGGCTCGCGTTCACAATTGTCCTCTGTGCAGTTTTGGACGTGGCCACTCGAGACGCCTTGCTCAACACCTCCTACCAGCGCCAGACTTAGAATCTTAAGGACCAGCGAATCGTTATACTGGACAGAGAGCGTACCATTATATCCGAGAACAGATGTGATTGTATGCTCTTGGAGCTCAAGGGAGTAGTCTCAATAAACAAGGTAGGCGAGGGGGGTGCTCCAGCTGGAGGTTCGGGAGCAAGTTGTGGTAAAATGATGTCGTCCGATTTACAAGCGATGTCGTCCGAAGCATACGACTAGTTGCTTCACCAAGCTATGCGTGGATAGTGTCGTCGTTGTGCAGGGGGTGAGCGGTTAGTTGTAAGGTGCTCCGTCCTTGCCGTGAGGTAAGACTAACGTAGTCAAATGGGCCGTTGAAGGCAGCACCCTGCGCTTCTAGAAAGAAGCGACGCAATTTGGGCTCTGACTTTGAACGGGCCAGAGCTCCTGGTTACGCTTGATGTTGATGTTGAGATGTGAAAGTGACGCGCAGTGGATTTGAAGCTCAAGGCTTGAGCTACTCTGAGCCAAGGGATGACGGTGGGCAAGGTGGCTGGCTCAAGCCCCGGGCGTTTAAGGTACCTTGTCCATACCAGTTGAGAAAGCTGTGGTGCTGGGCTGACACGCCGCCATTTCCATACCTAAGTATCCTTCGCCCGCGCCAGCGGGAATTTGCTAATCTTCCCGATGACTTTAGCTATTGCCTCGACGGGAAGGAGTAGCTTGGCAAAGTGCAGGATTGTTGCCCGTTCATACATATTGGAGGCTATCTACCTTCCTCAACACGACAGCTGCTTCAACCGACATGTGACATTCCGTGGGCAGCAGTTACTCATACCTAACACCTACCACTGCGAAACCAGGCGATAGTAAAACCCCCTGTTAAGTATTTGTGGCGCACGTAGTCAATTATCTACACAGTAAGCAGAGACACTTCGACTTCAACACGGTGTGCTTCAGCCAGTCAAATTACCCAAACCCTTAGGCAGGTGGACCGCTGCCCGCAAATACACGGCCAGGGATTAAACTTACCCATCATACCATAGTACGTACCGATGGGTACATCGACGTGGGGAGACCCTGAGGTCGATGTACCTGACCATACCCGTACAGTGTTTCATACGTAGGTAGCCACATATTACTGCGTACGTGGATCAGGGATGGCACTGTACTCTTGGCGGAAATATCCGTGCGTACGTTAAGAGGAAAGTATGGATAAGAACACCCCAATTCCCAACGGTCAAGCAATGCGATGTACGGATGAGATAGGTAGTGAGGTATAACAGAGGCACAAAGGTGAATGCAGTCAAGAGTGTCACAGTGAGTACCGATGAATCTGTGCTTCCAGGTGGAGTTATGTTCCATTTGTTCACTTATTTTGACGCGGCGTAGCCAATTGCAGTAATCCATCTACACTGCGTGAACTCTTTTTTCCTCAACGCCGCCGATACAAATAAACGCCCGAGTAAGCGACTCATGAAACAATAGTCCTGGCCGGCTCAGAAATGGCTTCACAACACGATCTTCAAGAACTGCTGAGGGTCATCACCTCTCGGAAGGGAGTGACGATGATGGCTGCAATGGGCCAGGTCAAAGCACTGCAAACAGTGGAGCTTCGAAGGTATGTTGATCGAGTGCGTGGTTCTGCTTTTATATCCCACCAATCTCACGTGTATGTGAGTAGCATCCAGCAGATTAGTGACGCTCCGCTCGACCTGGTAGAGCGTGGTCTAGGTGACTCAAAGTCGGCCAAGGCTTTACAGACCGCATGCAAGACCCACCTGAAGAGGGCAAATACCAAGAGATCCGGGGATCATCTTAGCTCTCCAAGTGGGAAGCGTCCCAAATATTATCACCCCAGCGACAACTCCGAAGGTCCTGCCCAAAGTGTAGAGGACATGGAGGCTGCCCTGAGTCTTTCCGTGGTTACGGACGAGAAGGAGATCGCCGAAGCGTCCATATACACCAATCGGGCGCCACTGATGTTGGCCTTTGTGTTGGAACTTCTCAGGCACACAATGCCAATGCAGCCCATGTCGAGTCGTCTAAGCTTGGCCCAGGCTGTTGTAAGCGCCAACTCAAAGTCAAAGGCCATCAGCATTGGACTGACCAAGGCCGCCAACGAAGACAGCTCGTGGGGCGAAGGACAGCCAAAGGTCAACATCATGGGCAGAGCTATAGCTGTTCTCAAGAGAGGCGACTTCGATTTGCAAGGCAGCGGTTTGGTAGCCCCGGAATCTCCAGGAAGGGCTTCAGGTGATAGTCTACAGGACAGGAAGCCGTTAGACTCCTCGAAGCAAGACCTCGGCAGCATTGCGTTCACGGAAAATCAGTGGTCTGCCAGCCGTCAGGTCACTTTCAAATCATCGACCTTTGTTGCAAGGGTGGCAAACGTCGAGGACGGCACTCAGGCATCAGGTCTCCTTAGGTCCCTCCTACTTTCCGAGCCACAACTACAAACGGCCACGCATAACGCCTGGGCCTATCGAGTGAAGAGGAGAGGGCAAGGCGACAAGCAAGACAAGGGGCTGGGAGAGGTACGCGAGGCATGTGAGGACGACGGCGAAACTGGCTGCGGCGAATTCATACAACGACTGATTAGGGAGGCCGGCATTGTTGACGTGATCGTAGTGCTGACTAGGTGGTTCGGAGGGGAGATGCTAGGCACAGATCGCTGGAGACTGATGCGGAACGTCGTCACAGAGGCACTCTCCCAGAGGCTACGATTCACACAGACCCAGGGGGCCTGTGATGATGTGGCCTTATGGGCCCTGGATCTTCAGAACATGGACAATGGACTTGGCAGCCGCAGTGCCAGCGGAACAAGTGGTAACGTCGTCGGAATTCCTACCTATCGCCCGGAATCGGCTCGGGCGTACCTACTTAAAAGTTTTGCTTCCGGCCAATCTGAAGGTGTTCCCACTGGCGACAATCCCGGCGGGAGTGCTTCTAAAGCCAAGCAAAAGAGGGTCAGCAAATCGGAGGTCGATAGCGAGAGAATGCGCAACCTTGGCCGTCTCCTCGGAGCTCTCAGGCTGCTGTTCGATAGCTGGAGCAGCCTTGGACCTCGTGAGATGGACCGCAAGGCATACTCATGGTATGCGTCTATCAGACCAGATGTACAGCCAGGGGTGGCAGGATGGGGCGCCAAAGGTTGGCTGAAGCTAGATTCGATACTTCGGCTACGTCGAGATGACCCATAGTACGGGGAAATAGATTATCAACCTGGCAGTATGCCCAAGCCTTTGGCAAACCAAAGCGCTCACGTTCGCTTTCAATATCTGCAGGCCGAGATTGGGTAGAACACAAACCCGTTGTCCAGGACATAACAATGCCGTATATTATCTACACGTAATACGGAAACCGATATCTGAACCGCATCCGCGTCTCCGCCGAAACTCCGTTGGTAAGGCACTCACTGCTTGGCGGAAGTGCCGTGGTCCCAGGGAATTGAAATTGAAGACATGGTGGGACCGGGGCGGGATGCTCCCTGTTCTAGCCTGGTCCCACATAATGACCGTAAGCCAGGTACCTTGATTTGTGCACCTAGCTTCCTTAGATAAGGTGATTCACCTCTGATAAGGATATCTTATCAAGAATACTGGAGCTGATGCTTTACTCACGGGTCATTAAACACCATGGCTGTGCGCACACACACATCACACCTCGCTAGGCAAGGTCAGTATTCTTGCATACCACTTCTGTAAAGACGCAGACGTGGCAAGGTGATACCATGGGTAGCTGCGCCATCATCCAATCCCCCCGCAACTACTTCTAAAAACACCAAAATATACTTTGTGTCGGCTCTGGTAGCGGTTGCGAACCATGCTACACTTTGCAACCGGCACGAGCGCCCCTCGCCGGGCTGCCTGTAGCTTTCTAACAATATCTCGACGGCTGGCCTCAACTCGATCCGCGGGCCAAGGTGCAAGAGCTCCACGGCCGTTAGTCCAACCAATCCTCTTCCCAACATAAAGTGCTAACCATACTGCAGCTACGCTACTCGTCGTGCTAACCAACTTAAACCCACTCCCACCACTTCGAATACTCTCGAAACAGCCGATGCCATCTTCAAGGCCAGAAAGATACCTTTGCTTGCCTCCGGGGTAGTAGCTTTGGGTCTAGGAATCTATATCAGCCTTTTGGCATCCTCGTTCTATTCCTCGACCTGCCACGAGAACCCAGAACCAGCGCCAGATGCAGTTCCGACAGGGCGACCCCACGCCTTCACCAAGGATTCTGCTAAAAGATTTGACCAAAGTCTCGAGGGCTCGGAATGGCTAATGGGTATCACTTCTCTGCGGAAAAGGCTTGCTGCAGAGGCTTCTGGACATGTGCTCGAAGTCGCCATGGGCACCGGCCGTAACCTTCCCTTCTACGACTGGAGTCAAATTATCAGCTCTCGGAACTCAGCAACTCAGGCACTTGCAGCACCAAAAGCCAATGCACGACCATCCAAGTTCGAAGCATCACCGATGATCTCCTATACGGGAATCGACATTTCTGATGAAATGCTCGGCGTTGCTGTCGAAAAGCTAGCAGAAACTGTGCCAGAGCTGGCTGATGTCGACCCAATAATTGAGAAGGAAACTGTGCCGTCTCCGGCCCAGTGGAATGATATTTCCTACCTTGCAGGAAGACTACGAATACTCCGATCAGACATTCACGAACATATTCCCTCGCCCCCACAGCAGCCTTGTCCGCAAGCTAAATACGACTTCATCTGTTCAACATTTTCCCTCTGCAGTGTCCGCGACCCGGAACAAATGGTTCGGGATTTGGCCAGCAAAGTAAAGCCGAACACAGGCAAGATCGTCCTAGTCGAGCATGGTAGAGGATGGTGGGGATTTGTTAATGGGCTACTTGATAAGTCTGCAGCTTCTCATTTCCAGAGTAAGATTGGTTCTTCCACGATAATCATCAGCACGAACTAACTCGCCTGCTCTTTCAGAATTCGGATGCTGGTGGAATCGAGACATTGCTGAGATTGTCGAGAACGCCGCACAGTGTACACCAGGACTTCAAGTCACAAGGGTAGATCGCCCGTACTTCACGCAGCTTGGGACGACCTTGTGGATTGAGTTGAAAGTATCGGATTCGGGCGTGTCTTAGGCAACCCCTGGTCTCCATACTCGCAGGCGAAGAGTCATGGTGCATTTATTGCAATCTGGTGATCAACGGGAAGTCGGCGTCAAAAGCTGAATTCAAGACTTGTAGAGAAAGGGGAGGTTTGTTTATTTCATTTCAATCATACCCGGTCGAGTCTAATCCCCCCGGCTTGAATTCCAATATCAAGCCTGCACAAACTTCCTCGGAACCAGCTGCTCTTACAACTACTAGTACAAGAAAGACATCCGCCCATTCCCTAATTGTACTTCCAAACGAAATCAACTTCACGCTATCGTATGCCCTGGTTCCACAATTGTTTTCGCCGTCATCCAGCAACGCCAGCTAAGTATCAAATCTCCAAAAAGAGAGCCCAGTTGATTCCAGAGTCGACAGAACAAGCCGCACCTGGCATTGTTTTGCCCATAACATAATCAATCGACACTCCGTACGCTGATACGGGACGTGGACCATACCTTCGCTACACGCAACATTTCACGGCCGTTAACAAGAGTCCAGCAAACAATCGAGCTCATCAAGTTCAATGCTTTCAGGGCTATGATCCCATTCTAGGAGGCCCCCTAGCTTGAACCAGCTGTCGCCGTCACTTTCCTTTCTGACGCTCGCCGGGACGGTTGCCTTGAAGGCTGGGCTTGTCATGAACTGATGCATATTTGCCAATCCGCTGTTAACGGCCACGCCGGTTTTCTCGTCGAACATGCCATAATCCCGAGCCGGTTCAAAGGCGTTGGCAGATTGCTCGCCATTGCCCGTCGAAGACAGTTCGCGGGCGAGCTTGCGTTTCTGCAGACCGTCTGCCGTCTGCGTAAACTCTCGTTCATCCTTTTCCAGCGGAGGAGAGGCACTGCGTTGACTTCTTGAGTACCGGAAGCTGCTTGGTAGGGACCCGACGGGAGTAGTAGGCATGGCAAAGTCGTCGTCACCATCATCAAATTCAGGAGAGGAAAGATCAACCTCGGGGGAGGGGCTTAAATCCCGCCGGCGAAGGTCGATGTCGTCACCATCTTCGGATCCAGATGCGATGCTGGAGAGAGATGGAGAGATGACTACACGCTGAGCGAAGGCCGGAGAGTCTGGGAAAGGCAGTCTTGGCCGCGTTGTGAGATAAAAATATGTCCGGCGTGGGTGTATCTTTTCGAGTTCCTTAGCCATTGGGCAAGGTACCCGACCACTCCAACAGGAACGCTTCAGGTAGGCGGAGAGGCGGGAAGAAACAATGGCGCATGGGTTTGCAGAGCTACGAACTTGTTAGTAAGTCTGTGACGACTTGAGAACGGAGCTGAGTGGCTTACTTCTTGACAATTGGAATCTGCTGCGAAAGCACAGTTGCCAGCTCTCGCACCAGATGAGGTCGGTTACAGGTGGCCTGTAATTGGGCAATAGTAGCTTCTACAATCTCGTCGTTGATTCCCTCGATCTTCATGTGAGTGGCAGATTCGGAGTCGCTGTGGGATTCCTGCATCTCGACGTTACTTTTTGTCGGAGACGGCGGTGGCGTATGATCAAAAACTACAGCGTCTCCGGTATGTTTTTGTGACGTCGGCCCCTGCACTATCCCATCTCCATGCGAGCGTTTCTGTCTCTTATTCGGCCGCGTTATTGTTGTCGATGTAATTGTTACGCGGTTTCCTCCATTTTCGGAATTGCTTCGACTTGGGGCGGCGGTGGCCGGATTGCGACTTGGATGGCTCCCTGGAACATGAATGCCCAGCGATGGGAGAGACAAAGATTTGCGGCGAGTGTTGTACGGCATTTTAACGAGGCTTGTCCAGAGATGGAATGTACGGATGGATATGAATGGTGATAAGAAATTCAGACGAGTGCATCCAGGAGACAGAGACGAGGTCACTATGGGCGATGGGAAAGAAGGTGCAGTGATAACATGCGTCCTCGTTTGTTATGGGGGATGGTGGATGGGATTTGCGTGCTGGGCAACGACATAGTACTAAGAATCTGGGACGAGGCAAAGGCGAGCTAGCACCCTTTTTTTTTCTTACTTTTTTTTTTTTTTTCCTTAGCATAGTCTCCACTTTCCCGCAAGCCCCTTGACCACATACGCAAGGGGTCCAGTCCGATGAGGTGTGGAACAGGAGAGTGCTCCACCCTGGCGTGCCGAGACTAGGGAACCTAACCACGCGTACGTCTTACAGAGCGCGAATGGGTACCGTTCCTATAGGCTATACGTCAGAAGTACCTCGTCGTATCACCCGGTCGAAAAGATTTTAAATTGGGGACACGTCGGGATGAAGCTACACTAGTAGACATACCTTAATGGAGGATGTCCTGCCCTGCGTCAGATACCTCCGGATGGAATAATGGAAATGCTGATTGGTTGCTAGACACAGCACTGACCTACACGTGAGGCGAGACATACATAGCTTCTTAGAGACGATGTCAACACATGCTATGAAGAGCATGTTTCTATAAGGAAGCACGGGAGGTAGGAAGTGGTGTGCTTTAGGCCTTTTAATTAACCGTGAAAGATTAGTCCTTTTTAGTACGGAGGTGCGTCTTAATAGTCCTTATAGTAGCTACTAAGCCCTAGACCTATAAATATAACTAATTTCGACTAACTAGAGGCTATAAATTATTTTTATTTTATTTTAGTTACTTTCTACCTTAGTACTACTTATAGTAACTATTTTAACTTATACATTATTATTATAATTATTACGAGGCTTATGAAAAAATTAAAACTACTAAATTAATATTTTTAAAGCCCTTTTTTTCTCTTTAATATAGATCTTAAAATATTAATAAAACAAAAGCTAGATCTAGGTATTAAGTAGTTATTCTAGCTTTACGAAGTTATATAATTAGGTAGATTATTAAATAAACATTTTAAGCTTTAAGAATTCTAATTTATATTATTTTTAACGTTTTTATTTACGTAAGAAAAACGGATTCGACCTAGCTACTCTTATTTTTTTAATTTAACTTAGTTAAATAGCTATTTCGGGAGGTATTTTTATAATAAATAAGTAAATTAAAAAGGTTAATAATATTATTATTTATAAAGTCTATTATAATTAGTATAGTTATAAAAAGAATTATATTAATATTATCAAAGACTTTTCAAAAGACGATAATATTAATATATTAATATTACGACCTAATACGCATAATAAGGCCAGGGCCTCGCCCTATAAGACCTATAGTAACTACTATACTATATATATAAAAATACGAACTTAAAGTAACTCCTCTTAAGATAAAAGAACTATAAATAAGTTACGTAATTATAATTATATAATAAAATAAAAAACGGACGCTTATAAATAAGTAAGATAGATAATTATAAATAATTAGGATAGATAATTATTTAATAAATAGTTAAATAATAATAAATAGAGATATTATAAAGGATATATTTAAAAACAAGACTTATATATAATATAAACTTAAACCGGGCTTAAAAATAGACTTCTTATAGCTTTTTTAATAATTAACTTAATATTAAATTCTATAATTACTTTTAGCTATTTTTATTAAAACCTTTTTTTAATAAAATTATAATTAATTATTAAAGCCTTATTTACTTTATAATTTATAAATATAGTTTTAGAGAAGCTATTTATAATTATAATATTATTTACTTAGTACTTATAGTCTTAATTTTTATTAATATACTTATTATAATTAATTAGCTATAATATTTTAATTACTCTTATTTAATAAGTTTATTTTATAAAAACTAATTAAATAATATAAACGATATTTTTTTATATTTTTATAAAATTATTTGCTCCGGGCTCTTTTATTTTTTTTAGATTACTTAATTAAAACCTAGCTAAAGAAATAGAAATAGTTTTAATAAGTATTAACTTTAATAATAAAGTTACTTTTAAAAAAAAAACCTTATAATTAACTTAAGAAAAAAGTAAAAAAAAGAAATATAAATATTACTAAAATATAAACTATATATAATAAAACTATAAATAAATTTTAAATCCTTAAAGTTATAATTTAGTTATTCGGGAATAGCCCTTAGCGTATTTAAGATTTAGAAAATAAAATTATCTAATTTAGAGAATAAGAAGTAAATACTAATATTTAGGCTTTTTAAAGAGAAATTAACACTCTCCGAGCTATTATTAATATTATTAAGACCTCTTTTTAAAGAGGACGATAGAAACTTAAACTTAATATACTTATTACTTATAATAGTGCCCTAAGAACTCTTAAAGGATTTCTAATTTAAGTTAAGAACTATTAGAATTTTTATTATTAAGACTTTATTAATAAGACTAAGAAAGTTATATATATTACTAGCTTTTTTAAAAAAAGAGCCCTTAAATAATTTAAATTAACTTAAAAAAAAATACTTTAATAAAGAGACGTTTAATAAATACTTTATTAAAATACGTAATATTTATTATATTTTTAATAAATTTAAAAAAGTTCTTAAGTCCCTATTTTAAAATCTAAATAAAAAACGATAAGCTAAGTATAATTTAGTATAGCTATAATAAACTAAATTAGTAAAAAAATACTTTACTAAGTTTAAATATTTTAGTACTTAGCTAGACCTTATAAATAATATTAAAATATTTATATTTTATTAAAGACTAAAGGACAAAGTTAAGAATAAATTAGTCCTATTTAATAAACTAAATAACTTCTTTTAGTATAGCGAACTTATTATTAAGCTTAATAACTAATTTTAGAAAAAAAAAAAGATTATAAATAAAAATCTAATATAAGTTGTAAGTATTAATAATAACCTTAATATACTTTTTAAATAAACTAACGACCTTATAATTACTAAAATAATAATTAGTAAAGTACTATTTACGGATAATATAGAGGACCTATAGACCTTAGTATTACTAAACGTAAAAAACTATAATAAAAAAGGATTTTAAATATTATAATTACGATAAGCTAGGGTATATAGCTAGAGATTATTAATAACCTAAACGTATTTAATACTAACTTATTTTAAAAAAGCGAGTAAATATTATAAATAAAGAAGTTTTTTATAAATAATTCTTATAGATAGCTTATTATAATAATAACTACTTTACTTATTAAAATAGTAAAGAATGAATAGAATAGTACTTAAAATAACCCATTAAAACCTTAGTAATAATAATAAAAAAGAGAGAATACTTACTTACTAACCCTATATTATTAAAAAAGTTTTTTTTTAAATATATTGCTATACTCTTTTAAATTTACAAAAGTAAAAAAAAAAAGTAAAAATAGACCTTATTATAAAGGATATATTTTACTTTTTTAAAAAACGAATTAAGTAAAGACTTTTAGTCAATATAAAAAAATAGCTTTTTAAATTAAAAAAAAAGAGGACCTAATATTAAAAAAGTTATAAATAATTTTATTTATATAGTATAATAAAACTATATAAATTAAAAATAACCTATTAAGTTTAAAAAAAAAACTCGACTTAAATAAAATCTTAACTAAGTCTATTTATATAATAAAATAAGTAAATAGTAATAAAAGATTTATTTATAAAGTTAAAAAATAGCTTAAAGACTTTTTATATAAAAATAAAATCGAAGTACTTAAAAAACTAACTCTTAATTTTAAAGTTATAAAAAAAAGAAAAATCGACTTTAATTTTAAAAAAGAAAATATTAAAACAAGAACTAGTTCTTTTTATTTTAACAAAATAAAATTACTTTATAATTTAAGTAAACCTCGCAATATTACTTAATAACGTACTTAAATAGAGATTAATTATAAAGTACTACTTAGTATTAATAATATTAGTTTTAAAAAAAATTTAATAAACTATAATATAAATATGTTTATTTATTTAAAGATAATTAAATTATTTAGTTTTATAAAACTAAAGAGTATAAGAAGGGTATAATACCCCTTATATAAACAAAAACTACTCTTTATTTAACTCTAAAAACCCATTTTATAAAGAATTATTTTAAATAGAGTATTTAAATAATAAATACTTTTAATACTTTATATATAGATAAAATAGCCGCTTTAATTTATAAAAACGTAATAATAAACTTATTAAAAACGCTTATATAAAAAACTAATTACTTAGCTAGACGTTACTAAGCTTTAATAATAATAATAAAATAATATTTAGTTTAGACCTTAATTTTTTTATAAAATATTTTAATAATAAATATATAAATTAAGAAGATTATAAATACGACTAATATTAAATTTATTATATTAAAAAAAGCTAAGATATAAAAAAAATAATAAGAACTATATAAATAAAGCGCTTAATAAAAAAAGCGTATATTAAAAAACTAAAAAAGCTAATTATAAAAAAACGACGAGAAATAAAAATAGAAAAAAAGTTCTTATATATAACTAAATAACGTAACGACGCATACTTATAAATTAATTTTAATATTTATAAATAAGAATTCAATATTATTATTAATAATAATATATAAAAGTTCGTATATAATATTAATAATTAAAAATTATAATAACTTTAAATTGTACTTAAAAAGTACTAAA